TTTGGAGGGTTTTGGAGGGTTTGAGGCCTGGCAAACGGCAGCCTTGAACGCCTATAAGAAGCCATTGCAGCGGCCGGAAGGTGCCTTGTCCCTGCGGAGCTATGCGAACGTTTGGAGGGTTTGGAGGGTTTTGGAGGGTTTGAGGCCTGGCAAACGGCAGCCTTGAACGCCTATAAGAAGCCATTGCAGCGGCCGGAAGGTGCCCTTGAGCCATTGCTGTGGCCTTGTGGTGGCTTTTGCGTGCGGGAGTGGCGCGTGTTGGGCTTGTTGGGGTACCTTGTCCCTGCGGAACTATGCGAACTTTTGGAGCGTTTGGAGGGTTTTGGAGGGTTTGAGGCCTAGCAAACGGCAGCCTTGAACGCCTATAAGAAGCCATTGCTGCGGCCGGGAGGTGCCCTTGAGCCATTGCTGTGGCCTTGTGGTGGCTTTTGCGTGCGGGAGTGGCGCGTGTTGGGCTTGTTGGGGTACCTTTTCCCTGCGGAGCTATGCGAACTTTTGGAGGGTTTGGAGGGTTTTGGAGGGTTTGAGGCCTGGCAAACGGCAGCCTTGAACGCCTATATAAGAAGCCATTGCAGCGGCCGGAAGGTGCCCTTGAGCCATTGCTGTGGCCTTGTGGTGGCTTTTGCGTGCGAGCATGGCGCCTGGAGGGCTTGTTGGGGTACTTTGTCCCTGCGGAGCTGGGCGAACTTTTGGAGGGTTTGGAGCGTTTGGAGGGTTTTGGAGGGTTTTGGAGGGTTTGAGGCCTGGCAAACGGCAGCCTTGAACGCCTAAAAGAAGCCATTGCTGCGGCCGGGGGGTGCCCTTGAGCCATTGCTGTGGCCTTGTGGTGGCTTTTGCGTGCGGGAGTGGCGCGTGTTGGGCTTGTTGGGGTACCTTTTCCCTGCGGAGCTTGCGAACGTTTGGAGGGTTTGGAGGGTTTTGGAGGGTTTGAGGCCTGGCAAACGGCAGCCTTGAACGCTTATAAGAAGCCATTGCAGCGGCCGGAAGGTGCCCTTGAGCCATTGCTGTGGCCTTGTGGTGGCTTGTGCGTGCGGGAGTGGCGCGTGTTGGGCTTGTTGGGGTACCTTTTCCCTGCGGAGCTATGCGAACTTTTGGAGGGTTTGGAGAGTTTTGGAGGGTTTGAGGCCTGGCAAACGGCAGCCTTGAACGCCTATAAGAAGCCATTGCAGCGGCCGGAAGGTGCCTTTTCCCTGCGGAGCTATGCGAACGTTTGGAGGGTTTTGGAGGGTTTTGGAGGGTTTGAGGCCTGGCAAACGGCAGCCTTGAACGCCTATAAGAAGCCATTGCAGCGGCCGGAAGGTGCCGTTGAGCCATTGCTGTGGCCTTGTGGTGGCTTTTGCGTGCGGGAGTGGCGCGTGTTGGGCTTGTTGGGGTACCTTGTCCCTGCGGAGCTATGCGAACTTTTGGAGCGTTTGGAGGGTTTTGGAGCGTTTGAAGGGTTTTGGAGGGTTTGAGGCCTGGCAAACGGCAGCCTTGAACGCCTATAAGAAGCCATTGCTGCGGCCGGAAGGTGCCCTTGAGCCATTGCTGTGGCCTTGTGGTGGCTTTTGCGTGCGGGAGTGGCGCGTGTTGGGCTTGTTGGGGTACCTTTTCCCTGCGGAGCTATGCGAACTGTTGGAGGGTTTGGAGGGTTTTGGAGGGTTTGAGGCCTGGCAAACGGCAGCCTTGAACGCCTATAAGAAGCCATTGCACAGCCGGAAGGTGCCCTGGAGCCATTGCTGTGGCCTTGTGGTGGCTTTTGCGTGCGAGCATGGCGCCTGGAGGGCTTGTTGGGTTACTTTGTCCCTGCGGAGCTGGGCGAACTTTTGGAGGGTTTGGAGCGTTTGGAGGGTTTTGGAGGGTTTTGGAGGGTTTGAGGCCTGGCAAACGGCAGCCTTGAACGCCTAAAAGAAGCCATTGCTGCGGCCGGGGGGTGCCCTTGAGCCATTGCTGTGGCCTTGTAGTGGCTTTTGCCTGCAGCGTTGGGCGTGGCAAGGGTTCAAGAAAGACAGGATCCACACCTCCGGTGGTCCCAGGCGCCGCCCCGGCCTTGGCGAAGGCCGGGGTCGGCGGATTTACTGTATACATTCCAAACCTTTTCTAGGCGAAAAGCCCTTTTGTACATACATACAGTACACACACACACACATATATATATACACATACAATTATATATATATATATATACATGCACATGCATAACATAACATGCCATACCATACCCCTTATTTGTTACTATAGTTAGTTTTACTAATTTATTTTTGTTGATTAAACCCAGTCAATACGAGTTAGACCCACCTAATCCCACTGAATCACCGGTTAATCACCACTTAAGGACAAGGTAGTATGTATATGACTTTCATATCAGTTGTTATACAACGCACACACACGCAAAGTACATATGTATATATATAGATAGATAGATAGATAGATAGATAGATAGATAGATAGATATAGATATAGATATAGATATAGATATAGATATACGTATATATGTACATATATATACACATAATATATATATAGATATATATTCATAATATATATATATAACACATATATATATATATAACACATATTATATATATTGTATATATTCTAGTATATATATATATATGTATGCTCCCCAATTGGTTGGTGAATCCCAGTGACTAGTCTTGCAACCTAGGAGGCCACCACGGACCCTCGCCTTAGCAAGTCGCCCACGGCACCAAGAGGAGTGCAGGTGGGGCAACTTCCGGGGAGGTTTGGCAATCCAAATGGGGGTTTCCTAAGCCATGGGGCTACCCCAATAGCTGGATGGAAAATACTAGAAAATCCTATCGAAATTAGATGATTAAAAAAAGGGCTACCCCTATTTTAGGAAACCTCCAAATGGGAACTCAAGCGATTATGTTAAAAGTATATCAATCCCCAAACAACACCGTAGAAATGTAAAGTCCTACTGAAAGGGTGATACATCTTTTTTTTTTTGATTTAGTCTTAGTATATTGGGATTTAACATTTTGACCAAAAATAACGGAACGAAATTCAACCAGCAAAATGAGGCTTTCAACATGGTTAAAACAACAATAATTGTGATGTAAGCGGCAAACGGCAAACGTCAGGCGCAAGATGGAGATCTAATCCATGGGGTGCTTAACCAATTTCTTGTGGGCCAAGTGGGTGATTGGTCTTGGGGTAGATCTATGAGAGTCTGTTTGGACGTTTTGTGAGGTCCAGAGGCCCCCAAATATCACGGATTTTCAGGTCAGGTGATATTTTGAAAGGACATTTTTTTTACCCAATAATGTGGGAAACCCAATGCCATGAACCTACCATTTGGGGATGGTTGGAATCCGCCCCATTTACGGTGAATGTGGGGATGTGTTTTTTGGGGTTTAGTCCATTACTACATCCATTTTGGAAATGACATGGGTACCTGAAATGACGCTATATATAAGCTATATATATATATTGATTTGAAGTGTGTACGCATATTATGCATATATCATGTAGAAATGCTTTGTCACAATCGAACCTGGCAGCTGCAAAATCACCAAAATCACCGCAAATCATCATCCAATGCCGTTCTCGAGGTGGAACGGCGCTACAACTTGAAAGCATCCGAGTCTGAGCTTTTTCGCCTGCTGGTGCCTGGTGTCAAATCGATGTTTGATGGGGCAGGACTTTTGGTACATGTTCTTTTAGGGAATGACTTTTGATGTTCAGGGTGAGAGGGTTTGAATGAATGGTACCATGCCTCCCGACATGTTGCTGGTGGGAATGGATGGCTGGTTGCTTTGGTTTTTCGAAACCGAGAACAACCAGATGCGTTTTAGTTTTTTTCAGGGGAAACCATGCTAGGCTTGAACATTTCCAATCTTGGAAGCGCCGTTTTTTCTTGGCTGTCTTCATTGCAGGTTTATGATTTGCACACGCAGCAATGTTGCTTAGTTGGTCACGTGCATGTGCTGAATCTGTGCATCTCCCCATCTCCGATTTCGGTGCTCAAAAATGGGACCTTGGGGTATCCAACTTTGAGACCTATCACAGGCACACTGCAAAAGGATGCAAACATTGATATTCCTTCAAGAATACTGCCTATCCCTTGAATGAATATATCCCCGTATATCCCCGTGAAATATCCAGAATGATATCTCGATATCTCACATAATATCACAATATATTACATACGATATCCCATGTGATATGCCATGTGCGACTTGATTGGGTGTGATCGTTCTTTGCTTGTCAAAACGGCAATGAACTGGGCATGCCACCCATATTCAGACACAGCCAAAACAATACATCGTTGGTTGGTTGCATCTCCACCATATTAAATATCACCATTATATATGGTTGGTTCTACATCTCAAAAATTGTAGTTGGTTAGTTATATCCCCATTCTATTCAAGGATATCATAAAACGGCGGGTTTACATCTAGTAATAACCCTTTAGCCTACAATAACCCTTGTACATTCCATTTACCTTCTGGCAGTCAAACATGGCAATGGAAAATCAACCATTCAGTTCGGCGATTTTTACATGTGTTGACTTCCAGCACTGTAGCCATGTTTGATGACACCGAGGGTAACCACTCAGACATTTCAGATATTATATTCACATTGTACCAGTGAATTATATAAAACACCACTGAATCACGATGATATCCCATTATCTCATGTGATAGCTGTTGGTTGGTTGTATCTCCCTCATATTCCCACGGGATATCACCATGATATCCTTTGGCTTTTGCTGATTAAAGCAACCTTCAAAACCCACTATTACATCACAATTATTCCCATTATACCACCATTATGATTTATCATCAGATTCCTATCAGGAACCATTCGCATGTCATACCTCGGTCTCTGAGGTGGTCCGTGAGAGTGCCACCAGTCGCTTGCTGTGTCGCTACCTCTCGAGCCATAGCGGATCAGATGTGGACTCGGCTTTGTGCCGCTCAGATGCGGCCTGAGATGATTGGGACACCATGGATATTTTCCCCTGAAAATGGCTTTGGGAAAAATCTACGGTTTTTCACACCCGTTGGTTCTTCCCATGACATCGGAGAGTAAACCTATGTAAACCTGTAAACCCTGCTGAAATTTAGCCTTAAACCAATCCATTGAGGCCTGGGATGATTCATGGAAATCCCAACAGTGTCATTCAGGGCAAATTAAGGGTGGATCTTAAAAGCCGACAGGTCTACTCTCCAGTCATCTTTAGTTGGCCAACTCAATAGGGCGTTTCTTGGCCCCAGACCTTGAGTAATAACTCCATTTTTTTTTCCAAATGTCTCACCCTCTGTTATCCCTTTGAAGTCTTTTGAAGCTATGGATTTCCAGTTGCTATGTGGGTTTGTCTGAAATATTTGCCCCGTTCCATCCTCTGGTTAATCATCAGTTTACTTGTGAAAAACGGCCGTAGCTTTTGGGTATACCATTTTTTTTCAGCGTAAAAATCTCAAGCACATGGCTGTCATGTGCGACCTCCGAGGTAGCTTGTGTCACAGCTCCAAGCTGGACGTCCAGGCGGGTGGAACTGGAACAGATAGAGCTCCAAGATGGCAGCTTCCCAATTTCCATCAATTTCCCAACAGATGTATATAATCGAAGGAAGTTTAGAAGTCAAACTTCCAACAATATGGACAGATGAAAAAGCAGAGGTGGGAAGAGTCAGAGAAGAGAAGAGAATAAGAAGATCAGAAAAGAGAAAGAGGCAGAAAAGGTAGAAAAGTCGCGAAACACTGTGTTTTTCCAATGATTTGCGGCTCGGGAGGGTCGAAAAGTAGGCTCGCTAAAGCGGCGGGTGCGGAGCAATCTGGCCAGATGAGAGATGAAAAATTGCACGCCGTTGTGGCGCGAAGCACATTTCAAAGTCAAAATGTGCAAAACACACCAACGTCGGAGCACTTTTGGAAGTTGAGATGTTGAAAAAGTGCACGCGGTTGTGGCGCGAAGCGCGTTTGGACGGAACAAGTGTAAAAAACTGACGGTCTCAGACCACTTTTGGAAGTTAAGATGATGAAACAGTGCACGTCGTTGTGGCGCAAGGCACATTTCGAACTTAGATGTGCAAACACACACCATGCACGGAGCACTTTTGGAAGTTGAGATGATGAAAAAGTGCACGCTGTTGTGGCGCGAAGGATGCTTTGAAGTCAAACGTGTTAAAAACTGACGGGTTCGCAGCACTTTTGGACGTTCAGATGTCGTTTTGTGTGGCAGGCGCAAGGGATTGTGCACCTTGTCAAAAGTAGCAAAACGTGAAGGTTTTATAGCAGTGTCGAGAGTGTTGGCAGGCTGGGACATTTCAAGAGGATCTGCAAAGATGCATTTCGCGTGGCAGGCGGAGACATGTTCATCAGAGATGTTAATAAGTCAGGGCGCTGATTTCCTGAGAGGGATTGCATTTGGTGCATCACATCGTCAGGCTTGCTAAGATGATTTCGCGTGAAGGGAGCAGTATTTCGTGTGACCTGGTCTCATTTTTCGTGACAGGCGCAGTAGTTTAGACAGATGGAGTGGAACAATCGCAAAACGCATTTGCACGAAGCCGTCAGCTCTGCACTCAACTTTCCATTTTTGAAGGAAGTCTCGCAGAATTGCTTCGTTTTTGATGTTGTCAACTTGAAAAACCGAGGAAGTCTCGCAGAATAGCTTCGTTTTTGACGTTGTCAAGTTCAAAAATGAGGAAGTCCCGCAGAATTGCTGCGCTTCTGATGTTGTCAAGTTCAAAAGGAATAGCTTCGTTTTCAAACTTGCAGATAGATAGATAGATAGATAGATAGATAAATAGATGGATACATAGGTAGATAGATAGATAGACAACTACAAGCACAACTACAACTGCAACTACACTACACTACAACTACAAATGCAAATATACTACGCTACAGTACACTAATTTGACTACCCTACACTATATAATTACACTACACTACACTAATTACACTACAACTTTAACTACAGCTATAACTACAACTAACACTACTATTGCTACTACAACTGCAGCTACAACTACAACTACATTACACTACATTACGCTACATTACACTACGTTACACTACATTACACTACGCTAACTACATTACACTACACTACACTAGACTAGACTAGACTAGACTAGGCTACAACTACAGCTACAAGTAAAACTACAACCACGCTACATCACACTACACTACGCTAATTACACTACACTACACTGCGCTACACTACACTACATTACATTACACAACGCTACACTACGCTATTTACATACACTGCAGCTACAGCTACAGCTACAACTACACTACTTTACACTACACTACACTAGACCACACTACACTAGGCTACACTGCACTAGACCACACCACAGCACACAACACTACAGCACACTACGCTTCACTACATTACATTACGCTACACTCACTACACCACACCACAAGTACAACTGTAACTACACTACACTAATTACACTACGCTACAACTACAGCTCCACTAGACTACAACTACAACTACAGCTGCACTGAACCACACCGCATCCAGCAGTCGTGGGTGAGGTGACCGCTGCAACCATTGCAGCCACTCCAAAAAACACAACTCCAACCACCTTTCGGTCCATCAGTGGATTCGCTCTGCCATCCATGCATCACAACAATTCACCTCTCCTATAGTGTGCTAACTTTGAAACTTCCGCCACCGCCTTGTGGGGTACTACTGGTATATATTTTTACTGTGATATGAATACATATATGAATATATGTGGTTATGTGATATGTGCATGAATATGTTCCCCCAACACATGATGAGTAGATGAAACAGCACAAGGAGGTTTGGGTAATTTTCTCTTCCTTTAACGACATACTGAAATTAATTTATTGAGCATATAGATTTAGCAAACAATTGGCAGGTGGGCAAGACTTTTTAAGCCCATATGTTGGAGGTTTCAGAGTTTCAGGGTTTCACCCGTGAACAAACAGCTTGGTAAGTGTTTTTTTCAAACAAACATAATCTTGACATGCCGGATTTTTCCAGTGCCAGTAGTTCGATGTGGTGGACGATATGGACGGGAAGTTTGAAGGCTTTAGCAATGTAGTGACCTGCGACATTTCCATGGCCGATTCCTCATGCAGAGGGCATTTTGTGCTTTATGGAAATGCTCAGAGGGCTAAGCGCTTCGGGGTGGACGTTGGGCACCCTGTGACTGCATAGTGCCCAATTACAGGTGCAGCAAACTGCTGCAAAGGCAATGCGAGTCTGATTCCATGCTTAGATAAGAAATGGAACGGTTTTTCTCCCTTTCTACTTAGGGGTGAGGATTGATGGACAAGGAACTGGCAATTTTTGGTAAACCTTGGACCTTGGTTGGGTTCTCTTGTTTCGGTGGTTCTCTTGCACCCACTGACAGCATGTCGTGAGGCCCGGTCAATTGGTGGCAGCTGCATTGATTTCGAAGTTGCCACACATGTTGCCAACAGCATTGAATGAGCTGGGATGATTACTGCCCAGATCTTTTGTTACCCAGCCCTGCCACCTAGCCGATGATCGCCATGATTATCGCCTCTGGAGGCTTTCCTGCAGGAGAAGAGGCAATACGTGACCGAAGGCATTCTTCGCATTCAGGAGATAGATTCGCCATAGATTCGTTGGCAATGCATTTTTTCATCCTTTTAACATACATATATATATATATAACTTTTATGTTTAATTTGTGCAACTTATATGACCCAAGTATATATTATATATATATATTATAACGGTAATTATGCACTTATGTCAAGTTACGCGCTGCTTACTTTAGTATACATTATTTATACACAACATCATGGTGGAACTATGACACTTTTTGGCTCATAGGTTTGACACGTGGCAAACATCGCTTTAGCGCCATTTAGGTTTGCCCAAAAGATGCGGGATGAACAGGTACTTGATGATCAACCAGAGGATTTGGGTTTGTCTGAAGGGGGCAAAATCCACTGGTTAATCATCAAACCAATATACCCAATTCAACGGCCATTTAGGGGGGCATACCCGGATTTTCAGACACAGCCGAAACTCAAAATCTGTCAGTCATATCCCCAGTATATTCCCATTCTTTCCACATAATATACCACTTAATGTAACTATATATATATATATATTCATTCCACTTAGATCTTAAATTTTACTTTTTTCCGCGAATTAGATGATGGGAAAACTTGGCTTACTCGCACACACACACACACATGTAGCTGTTGGTTATACTATCTATATACCATTCCAACTGTGGTATCCCCATTATATCCAAAATTCATTTTAATGGCAAAAAAACAATTTTAACCAGAAAAAAAAAACAATTGACGGCGAGGACGGCTATGGCGACTCGAAGGAACCCAGCATTTCACCAGAGGCCGTGCATGCACTGCTGGGCAAGGCAAGATGGGATGGGGATGGGGATCTTTTCCATAAACACAGGGTACTTCACGGGATCATACTGGGAATAGAGCTAATCATGGATGGATGATGATGGATGGATGGATAGATAGGCGGATGGACGGATGGGTCGATGGGTGGATGGGTGGACATAGTCGGATATAGATGGATAGAGTTAGAGATGGAGATATAGATATAGAGTAATTATTGTAAATCACCTTTGTTTTTGGGGTTGACCACTGCCACAAAATAGGGAAATCATATGAAATCTTAAATCATCATAAATCATATGAAATCATCCCATACCCTTCATCACCCCCCAACTCCTGGTCGGGTTTTGGGGTGGATCCCTTCATCAACCTCCCGGTAATTTCTTGGGGGTGCAGATCCAGTGAAGACCCGAAGTGGGCAGTTACTAACAGTTACAGGGGCTCTTGTCCGACTTAAGGAAGCAACATCCATGGTTTTATCCAAAAAACCCATGAAAACAACGAAACAACATGAACAGATACCATCCAAAATCCATGCAAACCACAAAAATCACCATCAAACATGAATAATCCCAATCTTACCATGTGTTTTCCACCCCACTTATCCCCGTTTCCATCACAAGGAGCTAACCACAGAGCAACGTTTGAAGCTGAGCTCCACGGCCATCGATGCCGTCATCAAAGGTGGGCACTGGGGAAGTCGGTGCCGGGGGGGGGGACTACCTCCCAACCATGGGGGGATCAAAATCGGTCTTTGATTGAAGATGTTGAAAAATTCAATCAGGGCTTAGATTAACATGTTTCAGTGTTTCAAGTTCAGAAATGCTCATTCTTGAAATTCAGTTTGGCTGTGAATTTTCAGAAACGGATTTTGTTTTTGGTACTGGATCGGTCAGCCCTGCTGAAGTTTCATAGAAACACTGCACGCAGCATTCCGCCTGCGAAGACCTGGGCAGTAAATTGATGTGCATGGCAAGTGCGTCATACACCCACATTTAATCATACATTTTATGTGGGGGGGTTCCTCCTCATGGGGGTACCCCCAAATCATCCAGTCGTCATGGATGAGCATGACTTATAGTATTGAAACCCATGGTGATTTCTGGGATATTCCATTTTAAGATCCCCCATTTGTACTGTAAATGTGCAGGTATTATGTCCTTATCATGCACGGAGGTGACGATGAGTCTCCGGACAAGAGAGATGAGAAGAGCAGCGAGGACAAGACGGAAAAGACGGAGAAGACCGAAAAGGAGGTGTTGATTCGAAATCGGGATCAATGGGAACCTTTTTTTCCTGAATGCGTAGCAAGGGTTCCCGTTTCACTCTGAGGGTCTGGGGGTTGAGGGTGTGTTCGCTCGGCGTTGCCCAACCGTTCGCACCCGTTCGCAACCGTTCGCGTGATGGCCGTATGGCCGTGCCTATGGTAAGTTCAAGGGGTATCAAGGGGTCATTTTGGAGGTTTCAAACGTCGCGTTGCTTCGTTTCGCGTGGCAGGCGTGACACTTTGTGACATTCAGACGTGTTTTGTAACGTGTCGAAAGTCGTTTTGTGTGGTAGGCGCCATACTTTTGCGACGTTTTCGCAAGATGAGTTGCAGTTTTCGTGGCAGGCGCAGCACTTCGGACGTGTCCCTCGTCATTTTGCGTGGTAGGCGCAGCACTTCGGACGTGTCCCTCGTCATTTTGCGTGGTACGCGCAGCACTTGAGACACACTCCACGCTTTACACTCTTCACTCTACACTTTAAACTACACTCCACACTTTGCACTTTACACTCCACTCTCCACACTCTACACTCCACACTCTTTGCACTCCACACTTTATAATTTACACTTTGCACTCGGCACCCTACACTCCACACTCTACACTCCACACTCTACACTTTACACACTCTACACTTTACTCTCCACACTTCACACTCTACACTTTACACTCCACACTCTACACTACACACTCTACACTCCACACTCCACACTCTACACTTTACACTTTACACTTTACACTCCACACTTTACACTTGACACTTTACACTCCGCACTCCACAAACCACACTCTACACTCCACACCCCACCACACTCTGCACTTTACACACTCCACACTCCACACTTTACACTCCACGCTCCTTACTTTACACTCCACACTCCACACTCTACACTTTCCACTCCACACTTTACACTTCACACTCCGCACTTTACATTCCACACTTTACACTCTACACTTTACACTCCACACTTTACACTCCACGCTCTACACTCCTCACTCCACACTCTACACTCCACACTCCACACTCCACACTCTACACTCCACACCCCACACTCCACATTCTACACTTTACACACTCCACACTCCACACTTAGCACGCCATCTTCTTCCATATTCCACAGTCTACGGTGCACTGGTATGGTAACATGGGAAACATGCACAAGACTGTTCAAATAAACTATTGCAGAAAAGTGTTCTGCGTGACTGCATATCCATGTGTTTCGACATCTGTACCATTAACACTTGTGAGCATTCGGATTCGTGGGCTGCATCTTGTTTTTGTGATTTATGGGGATTTAGCTCACAAAACATTGGATTTAATGGGATTTCGCCTCTGGTAGTTTAAAGCATGTATATAGTATAGACAATATGCCAACGTAGTTTCATCGTTTACCCATTTAAAGTGGTGGTCTTCCATGGCGATGTCAAATCACAAGAGGGTAATTAAGCTTGCGCATGAACTCCAAAGCCTTGAAACCCGATATATGGATGTGGATCAAAACGGTTGATTCTCCAAACTTCACTATATAGTTGAGACTCAAAGGAACCACGGAATCCCCAGGAGAAATCCGGATGCTTGAGACTTTTCAAACTATTGCTATTAGCCTTACTATTGGAAAAATAGTCATGTGTTTGATCAATAAATTATTGGTATGACACATGAACTCAAATCCAAATTTCAAATCAAAAAAATATTAATGGACCCATTGTAGTATAGGGATTCAACGACCACCGGCCAGGCCCCAGAGATGCCAGAGACCACCACAGAGGGCCAACAGGCAGATTTCTGCCATGGCTTGGGTCGGAGACATGGGGTTTCTTTGTCCAGGATGCTGCAGAAATGCTGTTTGGACAGGCGCAGAAATGCTGACGTGAAAACAAATGATGATCCCAGAGGTTGAAAAAACCATTCCCAGCTCACATTCGATCTGAATTTCATACCCCACACACACACACACACGCACACGCAGACGCACACGCGCACACACACACACATATATATATATATATACATAAATATTCATTATATCCCAAGTTGGGTGATCCAATAGGTTGAAATATAGGGTTTCCATCCCCATCCCCGGTTTGAAACGGATGAAATCCGCCGTTGCGCCAGGAGTCGGTCGCTTCCGAGCCCCTTGGACTTGGGATGAAACCCATGGTGACTTTGGAACATCCGAAACAAAATGGATGATTTAGGGGTAACACCATTTTAGGAACCCCCCATATTAACATCTGTAACCATCCCCGTACAACACCCCTGATGTAGAGTATGCAATTTTCGATGATTTTAGGTTAAGAAACCCTCGCGCAGTCCATCTCATGCATTTAAACACATCGACTTTGTTGCATTTGAAGATCCGATATGGGCAGATGGAGTAGGGCCTTCCCCAGCAATCGAAGTGGAGTGCAGAATCGACTGTGGGCTTCTACCAGTCTACGCCACATAATTTTGACGGTTTTAGCGGCTGCAACCCAACACGGAATCTTTTTTTTTTGGTGGGAGGGTGAGATAGTTGCTGAATATTCTGTTGGTGTTTCCAGAATCGCATCCCCATTTTTTATCATTATAATAAGTTGTTGATGTCTCCAAATCGTGCAAGTCTCACTCTTCTTGTGGTGTGTTGTCACGTCATATCCCCACGAACACATGAATGCAAACCCTGGATTAATAGCCCTTTGACATA